GGGGGGGGGGGGGGGAGGGGGAGGGGAGGGAAGTGAGGGGTCCGGTGTGCAGTGCTGAGCACCAGGGAGAGGAGATCAGAGGGGCCACTGCCCCAGAGGGCACCGGGGAAAGCGGGGGCATGGGGGGAGATCAGGACAGAGGAAGGGGTGCTGGGGATGCAGCGCCAGGCACTGGGGAGGGAGGAGGGCATGCAGGGTGGAGCACTGGGCACCAGAGGGGAGAGATTTTGGGGGGGGGACTGTAACCAGTGCCAAGCACCAGGGAGGGAGATGGGAGGCCTGAGTGAGTAGCACTGGGGAGAGCAGGGTAAGGGGAGAGATGAGTATGGGGGTTATCGGGGGTGCAGCGCCAAGCACCAATGAGGGGAAATGTGGGGCTGAGTGACCAACGCTGAGCACCAGGAAGGATGATACAGGGGCTGTGACCAGTGTCGACTGCTGGGGAGGAATATCAGGGGCCTGAGTGAGAAGCGCGGGCCACTGGGAAGCATGGGGGGAACAGGGGGTATTGGGGGTGCAGCGCAGGGCAGATGATTAGTGCTGAGCACCAGGGTGAAGAGGAGAAGGGGGGTGGAGTGGGGAAGGGGGGGTGCCGTGTGCAGCGCCGGGCACCAGGGAGAGGAGATCAGAGGGGCCACTGCCCCAGAGGGCACCGGGAAGAGCAGCAGAAAGGGATCAGGATGGAGGGAGGGATACTGGGGTGCAGCAACGGGCACCTAGGAGAGGAGGGGAGGAAGGATTGGGGGTGCAGTGCCAAACACCAATGGGGGGAAATATGGGGCTGAATGACTAGTGCCAAACACAAGGGTGAAGAGAAGGAGGGGGGAGGGGAGGGGAGGGGAGGGGAGGGAGAGACCTACCGCAGCACCCTGCAGACCCTGCCCGGCACCCGCCTGGCCTGGCTGGCCGAGCCCGACGCCTGCAGCAACTTCGACTACGACCCCAAAGCCGACGAGTTCTTCTTCGACCGGCACCCGGGGGTCTTCGCCTACGTGCTCAACTATTACCGCACGGGCAAGCTGCACTGCCCCGCCGACGTGTGCGGGCCGCTCTTCGAGGAGGAGCTCGCCTTCTGGGGCATCGACGAGACGGACGTGGAGGCCTGCTGCTGGATGAACTACCGGCAGCACCGCGACGCCGAGGAGGCGCTCGACTCCTTCGAGACCCCCGACGGCGCGAGCGGCAACGGCGGCGGCGACGACGACGAAGCGGACGACCTCAAGCGGCTCTGCCTGCAGGAGGACGGGCGCAAGCTGGGCTGGTGGCGCCGCTGGCAGCCCAAGGTGTGGGCGCTCTTCGAGGACCCCTACTCGTCCAAGATGGCCAGGGTGAGCGAGCCAGCGGCGCCGGGCACTGGGAGGGCGGGGAGGTGGGTCCAGGGTGCAGCGCCGGGCGCCGCGGAGAGCGGAGGAGAGGTCAGGATACTGGGGGTGCAGCGCCAGGCACCGTGGAGAGGGATGGGGTGGGGAGGTCGGGTGTGCAGTGCCGGACACCGGTAGGGGGGGAAATGGGAGGCTGAGTGACCAGTGCCGAGCACCTGGGAGGATGATCCGGGGGCTATGACCCGTGCCGGGCACTGGGGAGAGCGAGGAGGGAGATCAAGATACTAGGATTGAAGCGCCAGGCACCGGGAGAGGAGAGATCAGGATGGAGGGAGGAGTACTGGGGGGTACAGTCCCAGGCACCCGGGAGAGAAGGAGGGGATGGGGGCATTGGTCAGGGGTGCAGCGCTGGGCACCGTTGAGGGGAAATGGGGGGCTTTGACCCACGCTGAGCACCAGGGAGGATGATCCAGAGGCTGGAACCAGCTCTGGGCACTGGGGAGGCGGGGGGGGGGGATTGGTCGAGGGTGCAGCACTGGGC